TTGTAGTCCAGAAACTGCGACACGTACACGCATTGCTGACATCACCTCGGCAGTTTGATTCATTAAAGTTGTCCGAAAACTAACGTGTCGCTCCGTGCCATGCGTCATCTCATAGGCTAGGGTCACTGCATGATGCTGTTCAAATAGAGGGTGCTTCAAAAGAAGANTCCAGTTTTTGCATACCATGGAAACCATATCCGATGTTTGTCCCAATGATCTTTCATATTTCCTTCTGAGATTTGGGGTCTATTCTCTCAGTGAAATGTTAGCATCATTTTTTTAAAAACTTCCTGAACAACGTAGATAGTGAATGTTTAGATTAGTCCATTCGGTTTTTCACAGGCACCATGCACTGCTGATGATGCTGGGTGAAACACCTATTCAGTGCTCTTTGTTTGTTATCATAAACATTTCTATCGCATTAAAATGCACACAAACGGTGGGGAATTAACGTTTTCCAAATGAGTGAAACCCACATCCAATATCATAAAACTGTTCCTGGTGCCTGTGGAAAATCGAATGGGCTAATCCAAACATTCACCATCTAAATTGATTGAGCCATTCGCACAAGGTGATAACCGTCGATTGTGTAGCTTAAGGGTAAGGGTTTGAGGCCTCAGCCCGAAGAATCGCGGTTCGAGTCATGGCAGGGATACGAAAAACTGTTTCATACCAGACTGTTGAAAATCGGAAAAAATTGTTCCCTTTCACTTATTCCTTACTTCAAACGTTCTAATCAAAAGCTGCCGTCCTATTGTCTCAATTCCGTTGATCTAAAACTAGCAGAAAGTGTTGTGTTCACGCGCATTCTGTCCCCACTTGATCCTCTTCAGTTTGCTCATAAACCACAAAGATACACGATAAATGCACTTACCAAATCCTTAAATTACTCTGTAAGATAAGTTTGTTGTGTGTTTCTGGACTGCTCATCTGCTTGTGATTCTATTCTGCCTTCCGTTCTTTTTCGCAAGCTGGAGACTTTCGGTTGTCCTGGAGGTTCATTGGCTTGGATTGCCAATTACTTCCCCGGGAGAACTCAATGTACTCAT